CTTAATTCCTATAATCACGTTGTATATATTTAATTGTGTAATATACAAGTCTGCATAGAACGTAATCTTACTCTCATCGTTTCAATATTTCGCATTTACATGATTTAATCGGTTTTAACCACTGCCCTCGTTTTCCGCATCGCAGTGTTAATTCACCTAATACGTAACAGTCGTAAATATTAAAATGTTTTATTTGTCTCGCCTCTGAACTAGCTACGTACTCTGGACACATTTACGACACGATGTATTGCTTTAATGCTTTTTAGTTAATATTGCCATCGAATATGTCATACGTAGATTATAGTAAACTGCAAAATCAGCTGTATATTCACGTCACTATTTATTTATGATGAAACTTATTAAACAAGTAACGAGACAGAAAAAGGCAATCATCATGCGTTGTCTAGAATTGGTAATGTCGGCTGTCTTTGGGTTGGCTTACGTAACTACACGTACACGTTGTTCTGACTGTGGGTTTATCATCATATAACGCGAATCAAACATAAACATATATTATTTGCGAGACAAGCGTATGCATAATTAAATTAAAAATTTTCAATAATTAAAATAATCCCGGGTGATCTTGTAACACGAGATTTATTATACTTATATACTACAAGTACTCGTCATGACCCGGTCGAGTGGGACGTCGTTTTAAACCCGTCATCATTTTGTAGACATTCGATGATTTATATACTGCAGTTTTCTTTTAACCATTTGCCTATGCATATCACATGCACAAGAATACATATATTTATAACAAATAATAACGATAGACCTCGCCCTCTGAAGCACATTAACCAATCACAGTGCCAAATCAACTCAAATAATGCTGATTAACCGAACACATGGCATCAGTAACCTCTTTCATTTCCGAACACGCGTACTCGGCTTGTAGTTTAATTTCAATCTTCAATCTTACAAGATATAAACTTCGAGATTTTTCAATCTCACACAGAGAACTATACTATTATAAGATGCCACGATGAAATTACTCAGCCAACTGAGATTGAATGAATGTATCATTGACCCCAACATTATAATGACCCCCAAACACTGTATAATCATTGCCCCCTCCCGTTAGATTGCTAGTAACAAAACACGACCTTTAATAGCCTGCATTTATCCACAGTTTGATTCTACAGCAAATGTCTTTTATACCTGTGTGTACTATGTTTAATCTTTAGGGATATCACCAATCCGTACATATGAGTGAGGAATGTAACGTGGAATGATCGCATCTCTGGTTATTTAAGTCAAGGACGCAAAATTGATACATTCACGCAACATGATCGTGTTAAAATAATATGAAAAACAACAATCAATGGCGAAATCCACATAAACATTAAGAGTTTGAACTGTTTTGACAGCTTCTTTCTCGCATAAGAGGTTATTACACCGCATCCTGTGATTCACATTTCATGAAATTGAAATAGCTACAAGCAGCGATGTGGTGGTTCCGCGCAATATGATATGGTTGCTAGGGACAGTCTCTTGGTAGTCAAGTGTCCGTTTATATTGAGTATTTTCCTCATTTGAACACGCGACCTCTCTTGTTGTTCAATCTATTATTCTCGGGTTAAAGTGCAGTTTGGGTAGGTAATTTGATAGAATGCATGATGTCACCACTAATGTTAGTAATAATTGAATGCCCTGTTGACTTCCAGGAATTTAAAATGTATACCCTAGTGGCTATAGCGTTACTATAAAAAACAAGAATCGTGCAATAATTGCAGAGTAATATCTTCTTTTTTTATTCTTATGATCATAATAAAGAAATGTATTCAATTCTATTATTTGTTTTTTCTTCAACATTAAACGAAACCAGAAAATTTCGTAGTACGAAAATATATTTCACAGTGTTCCACATTTTTGTTTTAAATTACCAAAATAATACATTTTTTGTATTAGGCAAGATTTCTATAATACACCATTGTAAAACTCACTTCAGTGTAGGTGAATCCCACTTGACCTTTTATCTATTTTGGAAATTATCAAGGGGATGCCATATTTGCCAAAATATGTTTGTTTACTACTGTTCATAATGTATTGTGTAGATGTGTTTCTTGTTTGAAATTCGGCCATTAAAACGTCATTAATATTTTCTTTGACTTCGTCTTGGGATATACGAACACAATCCTGCACGTCGTACACCCAAAATACCATTCGAATCCCAAATGCTTTTATAACATTAAAGACCCGAAGTTGCCTACAAATCACTTTCATTGATGCTAAATATGTTGAATTGAATACAAGACTTCAGCTGTAAACAGTATTACGATTTGCCCAGCCTTAACGACTACTTTGTTTCAGCCCCTCAAATTAGATTCTGATTCTGATTCCTTTCCTTTAGATTGACAGTAGTCAGAAACTTGAAGTTGTTTTCATATTCATTTAGATGAAAATAATCGTGAATTTACTAAATTTCTGAAGTGTCGTGTATTCAACGTTCACTTCTGACGCCTCTTGACTGAAACTCAATTTAACGATACCAGACCAGACGACTACTGTAACATATGATAGGATATTTCCAGCGAAATCCAGCTCATCGTCACACAAGCGCACGCGAAGGGGCGAGGCCGCGTGTTTCGTCGAAAACCTAATATAGGAACGAACTGGCTGATATTGGTCACACAACAGGGAAATAAATTAATTTTATATGGCCTGGAAGAGATTGAAGCGGGGGGGGGGGGGAGTCGTCACCTGCGCACGCGACAGACGGCCCTAGCGTGTCGCTGTTTGCAAACAAGCGTCTACCCATGAGCCTTTGCGTTTTTAGAGTGCATTGTTGTCGTCGCTGGAGTGGGACAGTCAGATTCACCGGATAGGAAGTGTAAAAAGCCCCATTTTTTGCCCCAACCGTGCTAAAATATCGTCCTACCGGCCGGCGGTTTAAGAAAGTCCAATCTAAAGTAGCACTGTAGTGGACAATTATACACATATATTAAACCTTCTATCAAAAAGACTTCCGAAGTCAGCATCCAGTACGTACGTGGGTGAGCACAGATTCAGTTCGCTGACTGAAATTGTTACCCGTTTCATAATTAGTAATTCGATCTATTTCTAACTTGAAACGAAGCACACCCTCGCTAGTGAACTGGTGAACTACAAAGAACAGACAGAACAAAATAGAATCGATGCGGAATACAATTTAAAATAAACGGCTTAAATAGACTTTCGTTTATAGAATTCCGGCAACGCATGCGCAAACACCCACACATTAAGAACATACTTGGTCGCTCCCATATGACATTAGATGGGTTAAACACAAATTGTGCGTCAATTGTTATACACTTAATTATGTGACTGTATTATTATGCAACATACTGTCAATGTATTAAATTTCAGAAATAATAAAACATAGAACGGGACTTGCGTGCACAAAAAGGGTCGCTGACCATACACATGGTAGCTACAGTGTGTGGATAGTTGCCGTGTATTCTATACGATTCAATCGGAATTGGCGATATCAGCGCACATTGATAATACGCGATTTTCTCTGGTCACGTAGTTCACAACTTAACCCAGGGTAATGTACCATATGCATGTATAGGGTAATCCATCGATACACGCTAGATGGTACGGGAAAAGAATGTTTTGATTAAAAGTGTACATTCATTTTATTCTCATTTAAAAAAAAAATACGTAGTTGAATATATAGAACATTAACATAATTTATTACATAAAATTGTTGACCATCAAGAACTATTCCGAACAATCTCGTGGGATCTGACAATATAATCACACACATTAGTTTATATTTTCACAATGTGACGTAATATGAGCTAGCTACCTATGTATTTCTACAGCATAACCGCAGTGATTGCAGTGAATATATACATTATGGGTGAATGTGACTTATTATAAGTTATTAATTGTGAAAAAATGTAAATGTTTGCAGGTCACCTCTTTGAATACACATATTTTAGATCAAGCTAAATTCAAATATTTTACTCAAACATATAGCATATATCTCTAGAAATACTTTTGCAACAATTAAATGAGAATTTACTATTAATAATAAGCAAATACCAACATATCCAATGATGTCACCTCCTCGACGATGTATAGTTTTTGAGTCACTGTGATAGAAACGAATTGGAATATGTATTTGTGAAAGCATAATATCCAAGCGTAATAAGTGCGAGGCGTGTAATCAGAACCGCGGGGTTACGTTGATCGACGAAGACAGACTGTCTTACATAACGTTACATTAGGTCAAGGTACTTAAAATACTGTACTCTACCTACTTACATGTTGGTGTAAAGTAAATGAATAATGTATCCGACAGGTATTGATGCAATAATTCAAGTTATTGATATATTTGACGGAGATGCAGCATATAATTCAATAGCGATGTGAGACAAACTAAACTGATATTCATTGTTTATACTATTCGCCCCTGGCAGGGTACGCTATACGTCATGATGTATATATGAATCAAGTCTGCTTTTCGAAAAGGCAATTATAAGATGTATTGAGGTCATCAGAATCACAGCTAAAATAGGTGATATTGTTCCTGTAATTGTATCTCGACGAGCTCGAGGCAACCCGCTAAAGCATGAGTACCCATGTCGACGCGATGGAATTAGATCCAGTAACGCATGTCTTTATAAAAAAAGTAGCGATAATTATGATGACAGAATATAAATAAAGACTAGCATTGGTGTAATTATATGTGAACATTCAATCCTGGAATGTAAACTCAACAACATTTCTCGATGACAAAGCGATGTCATAAAGCATCAATTAAACTACGTTGGTGTTGGTATCTCGAACGTATTTGTATCCGAGTAAGCTGTAAAATATCTACACTTCCTCATGTTTAAAAAAGAGAGAAAGGAGATTCCGAACACACGTATGTCATGGGTTTGTATTTTAGTTGTTATACATTGTAACTCAGCAACTGATCACTTCGGATTCAGAAACCAAGCAGAAACTTTAACATTACTTTCTCCCGGTTTAGTCATAGCTACTGTATCCTTATGTTTCGTATTATGTTAATAGTAATGCATCGAATTTCTTCCATGGCTGGTCGAATAACGGGATACACTGTTCTCTTTCCGAAGCGTCATTTTGAAGCTGTCTACATGGGTGGTGTACGTACTTACTCTCCTTAAAGGACCCTTTTCTTTAGGGGTGTAATGCACACATGGCAAGAACCGGAACACGTGCCTGAACCCGTTTCTAAACTTAGCATTCATCCAGCAATATACAAATGGGTTGTAGACACAGTTACTCATTGCTGTCCAATGAACTGCAAAATAAACCACTTTTATGAAGTGGAACATTTGAATCTGAGGATGATGGTCTAACAGCAAGATAAACGTGTGGATGGGTAAATAACATATAGCGAATATGAACACTATCAAGGCAAACATCTTGACAAGCTGTGGAGAAAACAGAAAAAAAACAGTATTACAAAACGCAGGCATGGAAGCGTAATATATTATCGCCATAGGTAGGGCGGCAAAACAAATAATGCAATTTCCAACACAGTATGTTAAAGCAAATGTGTCAGCACGTATTGGTACACTCATGTAATAGGACTAATTACAATGGTCACATCGCATTAGACGTAATAATGGAAACACAGCGCTCGTGAGGATTGAGTCTTAATCGGTGTGTCTGTAGCTCCAAGTGATATAATGAATACAAACACGAATATACAAGAATTAATTCCCACCAAACACAGAACGCCGTGTCTGCTTCACAGAAATCAGAACGCCATGTCTGCTTTACAGAAATCAACAACGAATACAAGCCAGTGTTGTCACATCACTTCATCCTGAAATGGCCTATACGAGGCGTAGGCAATTCTCGCTCATTTAATGTGAAATTTATTTTTGGAAATGAATTGGTACAGACCAGCACAATTCAAATTTGTCAAATTGAAAATTGTCTGTCAATAATTGTGTAGATGCCTACGTCGTGTTGGGAATTGTGTTCAACTGCCTGCAAAGCTTCCATGTGCATAAGGCGGATGGTTATTAACATACTACCATGTTCCCAGCAAACGCGACGACGTGATTACTATAAATGGCGAGACAGAACGTTATCCTTAGACATTATACATTGTGCTAACTTGTTTCAATCCAATGCCTCAATGCGGAAGTTCATTACACCGTGAAATTGAACACCAATACTACATTAACATATCTGAAAATAAACACTAATTAGATTGGCAAAGAATAAACTTCCATAATATCGGTATATATAATTTTATTAAGGTCCCATGTGTTGTTTTTGTTCAAACTCTGTATAATCAGATATATTTCGAGTGGCAAGTTGATAAATCCGCGGTATACAGCCAACAACGCGCAGTAATGTTTTGTTGGTAAAAATAGCAAAATTTTGACGTATATTAAATGTAAAAACAATATTTCTTTACCACAATTACTGAGCGAAATTTGAAATTTGTACCAACTGCTTGAAAAGAAATCGGCACATGACAACACTGTTCGTTTTTCCTTTACGTATTTTTTGTTTTCAAAATTGAATTCCGATCTTACGAAAGGATTCTTTTTTCATTCTATTTCAAAGTTACTGGATCAAGAAATTTCCCTTCCAACTGTATCCATACTTGATACATACGCAAGATATCACCACTGGTAAGATTAGCTGTTTGTCATGGTAACGATACATTTTAGCTAGACACAATAACACTCATCGATGGGTAAGTAGAGTATATTTCATCTTTCCTGTCGATAATTTTGAATAAATGGTCTATTACGCACTATAAAATTGAGTTATATTGGAAGATGTCGCACCATGAATATATAAAAGTCACTGACAATATTGGATTCAGGGATGATTATCGGAATTCTGATCGCACGACTTCATTTCGACTGTCAAATGCGTAGCTATCGCGCAAATGAAATTGTGATTACGTGCAGTAGATTATATCTAGACATTTACTTAAAAATGCGGAATTCATGCACGACTTATATATCCCGTTCCGTGAATTTACTTTAACACGAGCATTCTACATCTACAGAACTAAAATCAATTATATTATTATAGTAGTATTATATACATGACATGTCATCTCGTTTTTACTACGTTATCGGGATGATGGACGAATGGCTTTTCCCATGGACACGTGTATATAGATTGGTGGCGGCCATCCATTGGATGGTTCTTATGAACAAGTGCATGTAGCAGCAATCTGTTCTGCAACTTCATATGAAGGCCGCGATGATTGTTATGCAATGGGTCCGGTGTACATATTATTGTGCAGAGGCTAGTGCCCACAGAAACCGTTGCGTGATGTTACGCATGACTGATTTTTATCTGTATTTATTACATTACGTTGTCAGCCAATATTCGTTTTGTTTGTTCAATGTGTGGCTGGTTTTACGTAGGCCTGCGTTGCGTATCTTTGTACATAATGAATGTTTATAGAATTTATTTGAACTGTCCTGTGATTGAACTGGTGTATGTAATAATCTCTCGTGACACTCATTATAATTATAATATGAGGTTATTACGAGGATACCTCAACGTATGCACGAAGACAGTACAGCGGTAACGACGCGCAGCGGAGGTCGATGCGACGGCGTACTGTCTGAATTCATATTATTATGCATCTTTTCCTTCCAAGGAAGGGAATACCAAAATCAAAAAAAGTTTAGAACAGAGTCAGCGAACGTTTTTGTGCGGAGTCCGGTTAAACCCTGGTGGCAGCCATGTTTATTTTTAATATTATTGAGCGTGTAATCATTTCATATTTGGAATTCGCATTTCCTTATATGGTAGGGTGAAAAACCGCAAAATTACAGCACGCTGTAACTTATGGCGTTACGGTGACAGATGTATAATAATAAAGTGTATTACTATAAATAAGCCACCTATTTAAATATAAAAATACGAATATCTGACCATTGCTGATTAAGTGCAATGCCTCTTTCCTTAGCCTAAAGGTCATGTAAATAAACTGTGATAAGTGACATATTTTATTTGGAACCATGCTGGTCAAAAGATTTTTCTCGTTTAGACAAGCTTGGAAAAAGTATTGGTACATGACAATTAGATCTTATCCTATATATAGCATGATTTGCATAATGCACAATTTATGTACGCGCCCAGTTTTGATAGCGAGATTGAGACTGGAGCAACGTAACCATTCTTGTTGCCAAGAATGAGGAATTCTTTGAACGAAATTGGAGAGGAAATTAATTTCAATTTCCACCCCCTGATTGAGCTTATCATCACCAAAACCATATCTATTTAGAATGGAGCAAATACGCGTTGTCCCCGCTCATCTTCCCTGAATAGAAGAACATAATTCATAATTCATAATTACCCGTGCTGAAGATTGACTAATATTTGAAAATTTTTAGTCTAATCTCTGGTAGGAAGCAATAGAACTGTGACAAAAAAAGTTTATGTGAGATTATCAATGTTTCTAATGAGTGTCACTGAGATTTATTTTAGTACTGCAAAATAGTTTGCATAGCATTGCCGAAAAAGCGCATTTAGCAAAACATTCGATCGAACAATGTTTTTCGTGACAGATGTTAGAATATACAGTATATTACGTGGATATACTGAGAGAATGCTAATGTATACCATGCAGTCGAGCACGTACTTTGCAATGATGCATGTACATTACATTCATTTGTTGTATGTACCTGAACGACATATGGCATGTTTTCCAAATGACCAAAAGTAATATTTACAAGAACCGTTTAACATTTGAGAGTTCTGACAAAATAGTTAAATATGCAATATGGCAGTATACATATGATAACTCCTTCACAACAACACGGTATCGTGACACAATATTATTCAATGGAGAGTTCTTAGTATCGCGGATGTGTACTTCAATCATTACATGAATTCAAGAACAGGTGAGTGTTGAACAAACGTGCATGAAACCGCAAATTATATGCGAAGCGTTGTAATCTGTTTAGAAATTTTGAAGAGCTCATCTGCTGTTCTAAAACGACACTGAATTTCGTCTTCCCTCTTCGTATTATCTGAACAAACGTGAGTACAATGACAACAGGTCAATAATTGAGCATTGACGCTTTACGCTTTGGGATTAAGTGGTGGATTACTTAATACACCTGCGCCCGGACCAAAGCGAATACGAATCCGATACGGACGAATGGTTACAAACACAATGCGATTGCGTTATTTGTACTTAAATAGAACTAGGATAATATATTGATATCGATATCGATGATACGTTTCTTTCATTAACAACGATGCATGAAAGTTACTTTGAATTTATACTAGACATGCAAGACAGGTTTATAGTAGCTATATTATCAAAGCCAGTTTCTTCTCATATAATATTGTACCCATTGCAACCAAGTTAACGACTTCCCAAATCAGAGGTGCGTAACGCAAATTACCCATTTTAACGAGCGAACAAAAAAATTTCAGTAAGAAAGATTAGGTGTCTTTTATTTTATGACATGTTTAGTGGTATCAATATCAGCCATCGGATTAATCACTTAATAATCGTTATCAATATCATGCAATAATGTTTCGTTAAATACCACCCGCAATTCGATAAGCTGGTAATCGCTAATAGAAACGATCTCACAAAGGCATCTCTGAATTGTACATCACATTTTTTTAAAGAGGGCTTTATTCACATAGTCATGCTTACGCTTAATTACGATAATTCCCATTTCGTTAAGTGAAAGAAGCTGATTGAGGTGTAATATTAAAGTAATGTTAACACAGTTCAGTAGTGAAACATTTTACTCACGCGTTAGAAGTAGTCTCTCATATTCAAATGCTGAGTAAAGAATATACATGATCTTGAAATGTCACTTATGTCACTAAAGTGTTACAGAAACATGTGAACCATTAAACAATTAAACATTGTTATGTCAAACGGACAACCTCTAAATCCGATTTACATGCAGCCTGACTTTGATATACCATTGGGATGTTATATCTGATTTGTTATAAACCTAAATAATAGGATAAACATTGTCGCTTACACACAACAACTCAGTTAACACAATTATATTAATCATATACCAATAATTGGTAACATTGCTAATAACAATACGAGTTGACTATTTAGTTTGTGGCGTTGGGAATTGGAATTAATAAGCAGTATCCTTTTATTTATTGTATTTGTTTGTTTTTTAATAATTAGTGAGACGAGACATTTCCTAGCGTTTTCTTGTTGTCCGGGCTTTAATTGCAAAGTGTCTGTGGGCAAACCAGACTCCCAAACCTAATACCACTGTGTTTAAAAGGTACTGAAAGACGGGCAGACTGTGCTCGCATGTATACGGTTCCGGAAATCGAACGTAGAACCTCTCCGGTACGACACGAACACGCTCACGCTCAAGTTAAGGCGATAATTGAATATGTGTTAAAACATAGAACTACTATGATTAATACATAAATGCAGTTCATATACTAGTAAAAATCATACTATAATGATATGGACGAGTTTTTAAGACTCGGAGACCGGATTACGAAATATCCCTAATTAAAATACGTCGATTCAAATGCCTGTAGCAGAGTGTTGTATTTTTTGCTGACGTAATGTTATGCTGCGTAGAATAGCAGTACGGCGCGCCATGGCAACTGGATTGTTATAAATGCGCAATTGATGCAACATGTCAGAGTATCATGGTAAGATTTATATTATTACCGTGAACCGCCATTTCCCCGCCTCCATGCAAGGTAACTAGCCATATGTCATATACAACGATTAACAAAAAACGTTAACTCTCCTTCGAAATTAAAAACAGAAAATAATAACATGTTATTTTACACAACTTTTCTTTTTATATTTTTCGAGTCTTATATTTTATATATTCATATGTAATATTCTCCAGTATTTGTTTATAAAATCTGTCCCGCTTTATAAATACTTACATCTGAATTGTGTATTGTGATTATTGCTGCATTGTAACATTGGTGTACATACCGCCGATGACAGGATCATAATGTCGCGTGACAGATATCCTCTGCGTTCAGGGTGTCTGTTGGCACCTGCGTCTATTTCGGGGGGTAATTAAAGAGTGATGTTCATTCGGCGATAGTAATCAAGTCGCTGATGGAGATGCCAGGATAATCGGGCTGCACAATCTGTCTCCTGGAAGGTTTGTTCATTATGTTATGTCTGGTGCATCTAAAATCATTGCCTTCTTCACGAGCAACGAACCGCTATGTTTTTGCTTACTGTATGAAGTGTTACATAAATGTCCCGGAAAACAAGCTACGTTGCGGATTTCTCTGACATAATTTAACTGACCGTGGAAGGACCATGTATATTTCTGACACGTTTATCTCTTTAACCTGACCATTATTGGCTTTACTATCCTATTATGGTAATTGTCTGCTTTTTAATCATATGCCATTAGAAGACACATACACTTGCCCGATTTCCCCCCATAGAAACTTAATATTTTTTTCCGATTCAGAACATTATTGTTGTACATATTGTTACTACATGCAAGTACCTCTCACGGCTACTATATCATGTACCGGTTGTCAAGGAGCGATCGCGACGACGAATTTGCTATCATTACAAAAAATCTTTATACGGGAACAGCTGTTCTGGTGACAAGTCAATCACTGAATTATTACATCTGTACTAATCAATTAGACAGTATGTAAATTGTGACTGCAATTACAAAAAATACTTTCAGTGATTTAGGTACATTCATTCTGTTTGAATTTCTGCTTTCACCCACTTCAAGTATTGTATTTTATCCTATTTATTATATTATAACGAAATGGTATGTTTTACAGACACACTAACACTACCACGAATCTAATTACGTCCAACAGATTTCATTTCACTTGAATAGAATATGAGTTTGAATTAAATGACTGACTGAAACGTATTACATTGCGTTTCTATACGCCCGAAATCGTTTGTACAAAATCTATACTCATCTTCGCTATACGCGCTTGCATCCCACACACCACGTAATTACATCCATGTAATGTTCAATTCAATGTTACCGCCACTTGGTTTAAAGATGTAAATAAATCCATTTACGCTACAAATTTCCCTGGGCAGTTTAATTTTATAGTCAATATGATATATGTATACATATATATATATATATTTATATAATACACATGCATAGCGTGTTATGAGGCTCGATATACCATGTGACAAAGACATTGTAGGTACAAACTAACTCATCACTTTTTCAAGCAATGGAAACACGTGCGCGTTACGTTTTAATGTTGTCGTGTAAATTGGATTTGTACAACGCACAGTGCTGAGAGTGTATGGCGTCGGTAAGGAGATTAATTATGGTGCCGTGGATGCGCGGAATACTAATCACTGTGATCTCGTGGAGGTAGAATATTTAGGTTTATATTTATCAAATGGTGTAATGAAAGATAAAAAAAATAGGTGGCATTTTTCCACATACCTTTTTCTTGGATTCCGCTTGTCTGGCATCGCGGTGTCTCTCCCTCTCTCCTGGTGGTTTTCGACCCCAAATAGAATATCCAATGATGGAATACGCGATTGAAAGAATCAACAGCGGCAAAAAGTATTGTATTATCATTAGAGAAATTGTATAAATCGATCGCTGCTGATCTGTAGCCCATTGCTCCGAGCAACTGATGGTTGATGAATTCGGATAGGTTTCTATTTTACTGTTGATTGCTGCAGGGAGGCTGATACCACCTGCCAGAAGCCAGATTACAACGATAACGATGAAGGCCCGTCTCTTGGTCATTCTGGGTCGTAGAGGATGTATAATTGCGACGTATCGGTCCAAGCTAATAGCAACCAATGTAAATATACTGATCGAGACGGATACCATTTGAATATACATCACCAGGGCACACATAACGATTCCGAACGGCCAGTGAAAGTTTATACTGTAGTAAAACGTAAGGTTCACGCACAGTACAGCCATGAGAATGTCACTGATAGCCAGGTTGACGATGAAATAGTTGGTCACCGTACGCATACGCGGGTTCCCAAGTACGATGTAACACACTACGAGATTACCGATAACGGCTAGTACCGATGTACATGCGTAGAGTATCGCGAGTATAACTTGCAACCACAGCGGCTGATAGTACTCCATCATGGGCGGCTGTTGATCAGCTTCAAAACTATTGTCTGTAATATTGTCAGGCCACAAGTAATCAGTGAAGTTGTACTGCGCCGCAACTCTGAGTATGGTTGACATCACGAACGCTGTAAGAGTTGCGACTGACGCGATATCAGAGCGGCACAGAATCCTTCTTACACTCTTCCTACGTCATAATATAATTAAAAATCTCGCAGTGCCATAAAGCATAGTCTGACATCAGGGATGTATAAACACACTACACATATGAAGAACATGTATTAAATCTTCCAATGGGAACTCGAGATCTGAAATTGATAGAATGATGAAAATTGAGTTTGAGTGACGCCATTGGGTGGAGTTTAGAATATAGCATAAAACCGTGTGTTTCGTTCTAATACTTGCAGGAAATGAATAGGAATATGTGTTTTGTTCAGCGCGTTGTGTGAACTCGGACTCCCCATTAAATAAAATCATAGATGACGTGTTTAAGATATGACAGTTACTTATAGGCTATCCAGGGTATGGTTCAAAACTGTAATTAAATGTGTGTGCCTTTCTTCATAAATTTTAGATCTCAGCAGCGCGTTCAATTTGAAAAATCGGAGTTAGCACAGGAAATTAAACCCGATAAATGACTGTTGTTTCTATCTGCCAGTATGGGGATTCGACACAAATGTTCGTATTACATGTTAAATAAGCGCACTGCATGCATTCACACCGAAGTATCACGATTGAGGGCCGCCAACGCATATCAACACGCCTTCTCTCTGAGAGTAGAACTCACGAAAAAGTACAATAGTGAACATCTAATTAGGCTGCCCAGCATCGCCACCTTTGAATGGTTGCCATGGCGTTCAGCGATGAGTGCACAGTCCTTGAGCACAATGCATATAAATGATTCACGTGGTTCCCAATAATATAAAATTACAGAAGCTAGCCAGTAGCCATCAGTTCAACCACGTTATGCATAACCATCAGTTAGTTTGTGTTGCATATCGATAATTATCAAAAACGATCAGTTTGTGTTTTCACCTCGTACTTACGCATACATAGAAAGGAAAATCACTACAATGGTGCATGACTAATACATATATAAATACGGAAGAATATCTGCGTACATTTATCATGTGATGTCATGTCATGTCAGGCTGCCGTTGCGGTTTACGCTGCTCATGTAAATCCATTTTTGTTATGTAGCCATGGAAAAGTTTACGCATAACACTGGGAGCATTTTTTAACCATTCGCTCTGCTACATGTTATGTAGCTATTCATTTACCGTTCTGTTCGATTCCCTTGTCATACAACGTAACGGTATGTTATTCTCTTTGTAATGTAATGTAATTTTGTGTTGCGTTGCGTTGCCCTGCGTTGCGTTGCATTGTGTGGGGTTGAGTTGGATTATGTTGTGTTGCGTTGTGTTGTTGCCATGTTTTGATGTTTTGTGAATTCACGGATTGACATTATTTATTTATTTATTTATTTACTTATTTATTTATTCTGCACACATTCTATGTGCATTCGGGATATAATGCATATGCATTTATTTTTAGTGAGTCCATTTGTATCATGTGATTCAACTGACGTATTATTTTAAATATCCTTATCCAAATTAATAATGTCATGGTAGAAATACTCACAGCGTAGAACGCACCGCAGCAATCCCGGCTGCGACGTTTCAGTGGCGGCTTTGACGTACATTTTTGCTTCATATAAAGAATACCCTAAACATCAAAACAGAGTATCTTACTTAATATCCATTATAGCACGTTTGCTGATTATTTCGGATGGCTAAAGTTCATTCTAAACCTGGAAAACAACCCGAAAGCAACAACGGCCGGGGAAGCACCAGTGCAGCAAACGACAATTTGTTATGCGCAGTATTGTTGCGTAATTGTGACGTGACGTCAGTGACGTAATACCCATGTAATATCCACTCGGCGGGCAATATACCATGTGATATCCATCTTTTGTCAATGTCACGTGATTATAGCAGGCGTAACAGCAGTGAGATGTGATAATCAATTTTATTCAATATCATGTGATTTTTAACCAATCACAGTATGCGTAACAACAGTGAGATGTGATAACGTCGAATGTATCAAGGCGTCAACGTGATAAATAATCGCGCGAGAACAAACGCGATTATGTGCCATAAACTAACACGATTCACTCAACAAGTTAGTGAATGGACTATGGTCGCAATGAATAGAACGAATAGAGCTGTCTGCACACGGCCCTCTCATTTTGTGGCCGGAGTAAAAGTATCGCCTAGAATAACATGTATCGCTTTCATTTATTTTAATATACGTGTCACTCAAAAATATTTAATAAGAACACACACAAATCATTATTGTAGACTATTACTATCATCAATTTGTAATGCCTGTAATGACGTGTTTGTATGCATCCATCTCCTCTGAGCCATCTAGTTCATTAAAACTGATGAAATGATTGTCATTTGAAAAGAAAATGTTGTAAGAAAACTCCACCAAAACAACACTCACATATACGTTCTTATTACATGTAAGCTTTGAAAATGACAATAGACTGTCTACGGGAACAGATGTCAGTTTCTCGCTGCCACTGCTTTACAAAAATAAATCGTGAATTCACAGATTATAAAATGTTATCACTATCTTCAGTAGCTCAATCATCTCCACTGCAACACTGAACCATACTAGTGAATTGCTTGGTCAAATTATGAATGACCGAATGGAAATAGCGATATAGATGGAAATGAATTATATAGTATATATTAATATTATATATATTATATTATATTCTTCGATATCTCGATGTTATCGATATAACATCAAAAACATATATGTATGCAACGTGAGTGCACTTCAATTACTTTTTTTAAGAAATGGCAACATGTAGGCATCGGAACATAATCAAACATAGCTTTGTATTGTTCGTTTTTGTTACGTGTTGCAATCAAGCAAATCATGTAAGGCAGGGCAAAAAGAGGAAACATCCGTTTGTATACGAATCGAGTTTGAGTGGCGGTGAAAAAAATATATATATACCTTTGCAATTATATGCTTGTGTGCGAGAAGATACAGTACTCGACTGGTCACTAATCGATAACAAAACTGACTGTAGTCATTTGGGCTCCTAAGTAGTGACTACGTGTGCATCATACCGCTTTCAATCACTAATGATTTACTCTACCACGCACTTAATGAATTTGATCGTATAAAATTGTTTGGCTGTCTACATCAATTGAGCATAATGGTTTATTCGGAGCTTTTATTCAGTAAAATACGAACCGGCTGGTAAATAATGAGAGTTTGTGGCCACTTACATTCTACATATCAATCTGTCTTTACTCCTTAAGATGTAATGTTTTTGTATGCGACGATCGAAATAAATTTATATTCCCAAACACAGAGTACTCTTGATAAACGCGCTAGCTACTCGCGTTTTTATGTCATCTCAAGCACATTTTCATCGGTAAATACATAGTTTTAAAGTGGGGGAACGTAGACTTGGCTACCATCATATATTCGGAAATTTAAATAAGTGGCTATATATAGTTAACCGACTTGTACGGCTTTTCCAGCGACTGAAGGCATCTAGGTACGCAAACAGTTTACAATTGAATTCTTAAAGCAAACATGCTCAACAGTAATTAACTGTAGTGTGGCAAACATAGTAGATACATGGAAAAACGTCACCTGATATGTACTCATTACGTATTAAACCGACTGAATAAACACTGTGAAGCACAATATTAATCAAGACAGGTGTAGGTTGAGTACGTATAATTCAATGTAATGTACTTTGTGTTGTATGGATACATGTAGAAAAACAAAGTAGCTGTGTAATTAGTTTTGAAGCCGTATTAAAAAAAGTAACCAAATGAGATATGTTGTTCTCATTACAAATATGCATTTGCTAGATAAGCATGTAAACCAAATTGTGCTTGGTTCACTGGTGGATATATATTGTAATATGAAATATTTGTATTAATACCACGTAAATTTTCTAGAATAGTTCAATTAATTGCGCAATATCTAAGCTCACGATATATATTGTATTGGTACGCATCAATGTGAATAATAAAAACGAGTTCCTTCAAGGAATACCTAGTGTAGCTAGTTATGCTTCCCAGGCATGTATCTTTCGCGGATCAATACTACGACAAGATTTCGACTGAATCACGACATCTTGAAATCATACGAACACAATTTAATGAATAATGAAAGTAAAACTAATAAAACAATTCCTATGTAAAATCGCGCAAGCTGTTGCTGTGCGCCAGAATGTGCAACTGGTTCTCAATGGACCAAGTGATGATAGTGTGTGTCAAACATTTAAATAATTTGATAATGATATTACTCACATGACTAGTTGATAAACAAAGAGCCAATTACTACTAATAAAGTCATTCTGGTCAATGAAATAAACTAGTTTAAACCAGTTAAAAGAAATCAGAAGTACGATACAGATTAATATCAATAGCAAGTGTAGCAAAGGCCACTCATCTATGGAAGAGCACCAACTTCTGACAACTACACTTCCTCTTTCAAGATTGGTCATTTTTGTAAAAATACTGTAAGAGTATGAGTCATTAAAATGGAAGAACGTACTAGTATATCAGAATAAATCTTACAGAATAGTTTTGAGTATCTTCAACACAGCCCCTGAATCAAACTTAAGGTAGAGAGGCATGTTTGTGGGCACTTGGGAGTGACATTTTTTTGTTTTGCTTTTTATTATCCAAACAGTCTTGGCTATAGACTGTTAAAAATTTGTAGAATTGTGAATAGTGGAACATTCTCAAAAAGCGATTTTAAAATATAGATAACAGGTGCAAACATTCTATCTTTTGAATGCTTAGCAAAATTTAGCAAGGCTGTACATAAATAATAAATAAGAAACATGGTGAAAAAAAGAAATAACGGGATCTCCATATTATGCACTATATTTAACTTTTAACGAAACGATAATACATTTAAATTTGGAACTGTTACAGCCATTTTAATTATGAGCATTAGCAAACTTCTTACTGAGTGAATTGTTATGCAAATTAGCAATTATCTCAGCTTCATATTAGAGCACATCCCAGAACTTTAAAAAAAATAGCTCCTAGACGCTTTGACCTTTTGTT